AAGTGAACAGTCAGTCAAGCAAGTAATCTACGAGGGAGTCACAACCAAGCGAGTCGTCGGAAGCAGCGCCGTGGGAAGCATACAGGTTGCGGTTTCAAGAGGCGTTCGCCTGGAGAGCCCTGCGATTACCGGCGAAGTTCCCGAACAGCAACCGCCCAACTCCCCGAGTGCCAGAACACCGAGCTACTGGTCAGAAGACAGCGCAGAGGACATCGGCAGCGACGCCAGCAGACGTCTCTGGCAGCCACGTTACCATCGCCGCGCGGAGCTTATTGGGGAGCGCAGGAGCGTCGCGGACGTCAAGCATCAGGGTGAAGCCGGGTGGAACGTTCATCTGCGCTAGGCGTAAAGCAAAGTGAACTGCTAGGCAGCTTCCTGGCGGTAGCCTGTCAGCGCGATCTGAGCAAGAACCTAGCGGGACCGTTCGGGACAGAGCAAGGGACAGGTATTGCCTCGAAAGGCGTTGGCCTAGTGAGCAAAGCTTGTTCACCCTAGTCTGAAAACGGTGACGCTTCCCTAAGCGAGTCTAAGGCGCGACAAGCGACCCCGAGGCAGTGCGTCGGCAAGCGAGCAGTGGCGGCCACTACGAGCGTCCCGAGACACAGGAGCCAGCGGACGTGAAGTCAACACGTCGATAAGCCAGGAAGAGGAGCACTAGCAGCCGGCGAAGCCAGAGCAAGGAGATACCTAAGCCAGCCCAGCCACACACCCGCTGTACTAATACCACGAGAATAAATCCCACTGTTACCATTTGAACCCTTTGTTTTCTCACTGATCTACGGGGCAGTCACGTCATATAAATTTGGTGGGACGAACACACAATCTTCTGAGCTAACCGCACGAATCTCGTAGAGAGCAGACAACAAAATCAGTTCGTTACACATTTAATTTGCTCTTTAACTTCTATCTCGGTATAAAAAACTAATATTTTAACTCATTTACTTTATTCTTAGTTGCTTCTTTTATTTTCATTTGTGTCCCGTCTCTACATGTATTTTTGGTAATCTTCCTCGCGAACTCGCATTTTTTGAAAAATGATATTACATTCGATAAAATAAATAAACTATATTAAATTAATGTATTCCGCACGCTACAACGGAAAATCTACGTGTAGGTAAATAAATATTTACTGTTGCGGGCCGAAATCATAAATTTAATATAGTTTATTTATTTTATCGAATGTAATATCATTTTTCGACACAATTGTTGATATCAGACATTTTTGTTAAAGGCGCGTTCGCCACTACTTTTTACCTCGTTAAGAGGTGTTTTTGTTTGATATTGGACATAAGGCTTAAATATGTTTTTTATTTCAATGCTAGGTTTTTATATTTAGTATGAATATGCAGGGGAGTAAAAAAATTCAAATAAAAATATATTTGATTTCACTACGCGTTTATTCTACCAGTGCAGTAATGGTGTTCTGTTGGTAAAATGAATAAATAAATAAATAATTGGTTGCTTTGGAGATACGATGGGACTCAACGCGGCACTGAGTCCTTCAGTTTGATCGGCGCCTAACGCGGGGCCCACGCATGACGGGATGTATAGCAGACGTGATCGCGATGCTCATATACTTTGTTTTTCCTTCTTTCAGATCACAACCGTATGTCCTTGGCGTGATGAACTGCCAGACTGCGGCCTTGAAGGTCATCAGCAAGTACGCATTGCTGCCGACGGATTTGACCACCCTGGCTTTTAGGAACTTCCGAGCAAGCTTGCCGTTAAAGGATTTGCTGAAATCAGTCAGCACGAAGTTGCAGCGGAAATCTTCGTTGGCCCCCTCCAGTTGCTTCTTCACCTTGGCGTGGATTACCCGAAGCTTGTCCATGGTCAGCATTCCGGTCATTTCATGGTCGACCAGGGACCTGTGTCGTCTTGTAGCTTTAACCGTTGAGGAACATGTGATGGCAGAGAAAAGTGAAGAACGGCGCTTCTCTTGTGGCTGAGTGAACAGTGTTTCGGATGGCCGCTTCAAGCTCCGGCAGATGTGGATCTCATACCCGGTGATTTTCGTCCAAGAAGCTACGAGTTGCGGCCAAGACAATCCTGTTTACCCTCTCCGCGGCTTGAAGATTAGTCCGCCGTCCACGTCTTGCACGATCTCCGCGTAATCCTCCGCAGCAAATTCTGTCGTCTCGAACCCCATTAACTCTATCGGATCTATCAGGATCTCCTCGATGTCTTTCCCTGGCTTCGACACTACTGTTGTGCGATTGCTCCACGGGCTTTTGCTCTCCTCGATGACACCCAGGTCCAGCGTCTAATCGATTTCTCCTTCGACCACCTTTTGCTTCGCCGGAGACATCAGCTCAATGGAATGACTTTCCATGCTGGTGACTCCGAGGCCATCCCTTTCAAAGGTAAGGAACTCCTCCATGACCTTGTCTAATGATCGGCATAGTGCTCCATGTGGCTGGCATGGAATTCTTCAGCAGATTTGACGCCTCTCTCGCCACCGGCGTCTCTACGACAGTTGGAGCTAGTCCGAACGCCCGCCAGAAGTCGACTCCGAAGTACGCAGTTTGTTCTAGGTATGGCCAAAGGTAGAGCGTGACCGGCTTACTTACGCCTTTGTACTTCACAGGCAGCTCCAAGTGTCGGATAATGGATCGATCCACGCCAGAAGCCGCCCGGACTACGAAAAAGACGGTTGAATGGGAACTCCCAGCGTTTCCACGAGCTCTCAACAGCCTTTGCCCCCGTGTCCAAAAAGCCGGTGAGTGACTTGCCCAAGGTCTCCACATCGGCGAAGGGTCTAGGATCGGCGGAATCTGTGCGTTTCACGGCCGCTACCACCTTTAGTCGTCTGGATCTCCTTATCCTGGAGCACTCCCTTGCTTTTTGGACTCTCCGTGAGACTATACGCATGCAGCTGATGTTCCGCAAAGATCCGGTTCCGTGCGAAGCCTTTCATCCTCCGGTAAATATCTTAACGAATACTTATATCTACTATATTGGCAATTTACATTTTTTTTTTCATCTTCTTCCTTCGGAACTACTTCGTGGAACCGCTTTCGGATTGCCCAGCCGACCGTTTTTCAAGCAATCGGGACATTCCTCCACTCCGTAGCCTCGCAACCCTATAATCCGTGCTGCGCAGCCCCGCAATTCCAGCAACCTGGCCCAAATGGGTTTCGGATACGCCCACGGAGCTCGTCCACTTAGAGGTTTCGCTGCTCGTCGACTTCGTCGAAGCCCTTTTTAACCACCTTCACCAACTGCCGCTCTGACATTGGTTTTTTAGGCGTGAGGCGAGTTGCTGCATGGAATGGATGTAGTCATCCGCGCTCTCTCCCGGCTGTTGCTCACGCTGTAGCTGCTCATGCATCCTTTCGTGTTCCGTCTGATGACCACGGAACCGATCCATCAGAGCCCTGCGCAGTTGGGCCCAAGTGCCCACTCTGGATTGGAGTACGTGTACCCAATACCACTCCTTTGCTCTGCCCGATAGGAGGACGTGGAAGTTCCGCAAATCTTCATTCCACGGACACTGATGCTGTCGTTGCAGGAACTCTTGACGGTACACGAAATCGTCTACGGAATGGCCATTGTCCTCGACGCCGAAGGAGAGGTTCCAGCGGTCCACTAGGATGGTGCGGTTCCCGTTGCCGGCTCCCGCGTTTGCGTACAACCGCGGCTCGTCCCGGAAATCCGCCGTCCATCGTTCCTCGATGCGCCACTACCGTGCGTGGTGATCACTCCTGCCGGATGATACTCCGCTTCCTGGCTCACGCTGCTGTCGATCCTCAGAGAGTCAGTCACCGGCGGTCGAGCTCGCTGCCTGGACGGCAATTTCGGCGGCCTTCGGTAGCATTTATCCGTCCTGGAGCGCCTGATGTATGCTCTCGGCTGGCCTAAGGACGGCGTTCAGCAACTTCATCATGTCCATGAAGCCGTTCTTGATCTCCTCCCTCAACTCCCAACTCCTGAAATGCGCGATAGGTTTGGGCCGCTGGTGCCAAAGCTGCGTTCATTGCCGACCGTTCCAGGTTCAGCTTTTGAGGACTCTTCTGCTCCGGAACCAGAAGTTGATCCTGCGCCTCAATGATCGCCTTGAAATCATGGACCGTGGGCGACCGATGGTGTACCAGATCCGCCGGTTGATCCCTAATTCGATCCACCGCACTACCGCCTACCGGCGTTCTGGCTAAACCCACAGCCAGCAATATCCGCGGCAACTCAGCAGCACCCTCTACGTCAGTGGACCAGATATCGTCCATCTCGTCGCCAGGAGGACCCATCGACTTAGCTGGTGGCCGTGCCTATCTCTAAAGTCCTTACCCTCGGACATGATTTCCAAAAATTTTTAAGTAAATACTTAACTAAACCGTCACTAACAAATTATATAAATACAACGATAACTAAAGAAATAAATAGGACAACAAATATATACGATAATAAATAATATGATAAATAGCAAAATAAATAAATAGTTACGATAATAACTAATAGCAAAAATAAATAACAATAAAACAAATCTTCCTCACTTAAAAACACCTTTTTTCACGAATACATATTCAAAATACAAGTTTTATAACTACTTTATCACAGAAATTGTCACAGATTTTCTTTAGTGTCTCCCGTGATGCAAGTCTTGGTTTCAGCCAGGGTGCCATCACCGGTTCAGTGGTAAACCTGTGACCAGGAGCGATTCGTCGGCAATGTTCGCCGACCAGCTTCCCGCTCTATTTCCAATTTCCCTACGCAGCTGACTTCCCTGTCACCACTTCTATGTTGCAAGCCACAGTTCGGGATGACATGGGGGGCATCAGGGTCATAAATGGGCGAGACGTCGTTGCCTCGACAATTTATTTAGTTTATATTGGGCGCCACTATGTTACGAACTGCATATTTTTCGGTGGCAGTACCGCTAGCTCAGTCTTATCCCGGACAGGGTACCCATAATGCCACAGTTCGAAAAATAAAATATCGAAAACACAGCTGTCTCACGTCACTAAACTATCGGTCATCACTTAGAACAAAAACGTAAACAAAGGTAAACACCTACAAATGTTTACAGGAAAATGGGTTAAATTTTGTTGCTGGGAAAAACCTACAGGAGCCGCGAAAAGTTCTGCTCTACTGGTCACGTATTGGTAGAGCTCGCATGGAAGCACGGCCCTTAAAAGGAACACACGCGATGCGCGCGTGTCGGGTCACCTAGTCCTGAGGAGCTCCTGGGGAAAAGAAGGGGCAGGCAAAATGGTACGCAAACGACGATTACAAATAAGGCTCTCTAAACCGGATAAATTCACAATTAAACAGGAAAGTAAATATAGTAGTTCAGGTTCACATGTATTCAATTGTCCTAAATTTCAGCCACTATTGGGCCGGGCCTGGAGGGCGATTATAGACCGGACTGAGGAAGGAAGGAAATCTGGCACACTACTGTGAGTTGCGTAAGGGCAGTCCAACCACTTTAGGCTGGCGTGATCAGTAATACATGTGAACGGCATCCCTTCCACATACGGTCTGAACTTCCGAATGGCTAGGATGGCCGCCAGACACTCCTTTTCCGTGACCGAGTAATTCACCTGGTGTTTGTGAAGGCAGTGTACTCCTTGCTTCTGCCATCCAGTTCAATATGCTAAAACGCTAACTTAAGGTCAACGCTGGAGATGTAATGCGTCTGATCCATCCTGGAGAGGATTCCTTCAATACTGGACAGGGGGTATGCATCCTCAATGGTCAATGCGTTCAACTTCCGGGCATCCAGACAGAACCTGTCTTTCCCTGGCTTCGACACTACTGTTGTGCGATTGCTCCACGGGCTTTTGCTCTCCTCGATGACACCCAGGTCCAGCGTCTAATCGACTTCTTCTTCGACCACCTTTTGCTTCGCCGGAGACATCAGCTCAATGGAATGACTCTCCATGCTGGTGACTCCGAGGCCATCCCTTTCAAAGGATGACCTTGTCTAAAGATCGGCATAGTGCTCCATCTGGCTGGCATGGATTTCTTCAGCAGCTTTGACGCCTCTCTCGCCACCGGCGTCTCTACGACAGTTGGAGCTAGTCCGAACGCCCGCCAGAAGTCGACTCCGAAGTACGCAGTTTGTTCCAGGTATGGCCAAAGGTAGAACGTGACCGGCTTACTTAAGCCTTTGTACTTCACAGGCAGCTCCAAGCGTCGGATAATGGATCGATCCTCGCCAGAAGCCGCCCGGACTACGAAAAATACGGTTGAATGGGAACTCCCAGCGTTTCCACGAGCTCTCAACAGCCTTTGCCCAGCACACATACACTGGACCCCGTGTCCAACAATCCTAAAGCACTTCCTTGCTTTTTGGACTCTCCGTGAGACTATACGCATGCAGCTGATGTTCCGCAAAGATCCGGTTCCGTGCGAAGCCTTTCATCCTCCGGTTAATATATTAACGAATACTTATATCTACTATATTGGCAATTTACGTTCTTGCTTTCATCTTCTTCCTTCGGAACTACTTCGTGGGACCGCTTTCGGATTGCCCAGCCAACCGTTTTTCGAGCAATCGGGACATTCCTCCACTCCGTAGCCTCGCAACCCTAGAATCCGTGCTGCGCAGCCCTGCAATTCCAGCAACCTGGCCTAAATGGATTTCGGATACGCCCACGGAGCTCGTCCACTTAGAGGTTTCGCTGCTCGTCGACTTCGTCCGGTATGTGCGCCTCGCTGACCCGTAACTTTCTCTGCTGCAAGAAAGCAGCGCGCCCTCGACGACCGAAATCCCTCTCTACTTGGACGCACTGTTCCGCAAGGTCGTCCATCGTGAGTACATCCATTGTGTAAACGTACCTAGCGATGCCGTCCCTTAAGGCCTTTTTAACCACCTTCACCAACTGCCGCTCTGACATTGGTTTTTTAGGCGTGAGGCGAGTTGCTGCATGGAATGGATGTAGTCATCCGCGCTCTCTCCCGGCTGTTGCTCACGCTGTAGCTGCTCATGCATCCTTTCGTGTTCCGTCTGATGACCACGGAACCGATCCATCAGAGCCCTGCGCAGTTGGGCCCAAGTGTCCACTCTGGATTGGAGTACGTGTACCCAATACCACTCCTTTGCTCTGCCCGATAGGAGGACGTGGAAGTTCCGCAAATCTTCATTCCACGAACACTGATGCTGTCGTTGCAGGAACTCTTGACGGTACACGAAGTCGTCTACGGAATGGCCATTGTCCTCGACGCCGAAGGAGAGGTTCCAGCGGTCCACTGGGATGGTGCGGTTCCCGTTGCCGGCTCCCGCGTTTGCGTACAACCGCGGCTCGTCCCGGAAATCCGCCGTCCATCGGTCCTCGAAGCGCCACTACCGGATGCCGGATGATACTCCGCTTCCTGGCTCAGGCTGCTGTCGATCCTCAGAGAGTCATTCACCGGCGTTCGAGCTCGGTGCCTGGACGGCAATTCCGGCGGCCTTCGGTAGCATTTATCCGTCCTGGAGCGCCTGATGTATGCTCTCGGCTGGCCTAAGGACGGCGTTCAGCAACTTCATCATGTCCATGAAGCCGTTCTTGATCTCCTCCCTCAACTCCCAACTCCTGAAATGCGCGATAGGTTTGGGCCGCTGGTGCCAAAGCTGCGTTCATTGCCGACCGTTCCAGGTTCAGCTTTTGAGGACTCTTCTGCTCCGGAACCAGAAGTTGATCCTGCGCCTCAATGATCGCCTTGAAATCATGGACCGTGGGCGACCGATGGTGTACCAGATCCGCCGGTTGATCCCTAATTCGATCCACCGCACTACCGCCTACCGGCGTTCTGGCTAAACCCACAGCCAGCAATATCCGCGGCAACTCAGCAGCACCCTCTACGTCAGTGGACCAGATATCGTCCATCTCGTCGCCAGGAGGACCCATCGACCTTAGCTGGTGGCCGTGCCTATCTCTAAAGTCCTTACCCTCGGACATGATTTCCAAAAATTTTTAAGTAAATACTTAACTAAACCGTCACTAACAAATTATATAAATACAACGATAACTAAAGAAATAAATAGGACAACAAATATATACGATAATAAATAATATGATAAATAGCAAAATAAATAAATAGTTACGATAATAATTAATAGCAAAAATAAATAACAATAAAACAAATCTTCCTCACTTAAAAACACCTTTTTTCACGAATACATATTCAAATTCTCCAATTTTCTTCTTCTCCTAAAAGCTCTGGACCTGGGGAGATGGAACTGACCCTCGCCGGTGGGCTTCCGGCCTAACTCGTCTTGCGCTTTCTCCAAAACCCCTCTTCTCCCTTCACCGCCTAGCCGTTCGTCAACAGAACTAGCTATCACACGTGGTGATAGCCGCCAGTTAAGGACATCGACTGGTTTGACTCCTGTTGCCTTTTCCTTCCCGTCCTCATTTTCTATTTTAAGTTGAGGTAATGGTGCAGCGCGTGGGGTTACCACGGGTCACGATTACGCAATTAAGTAAATAACCGACATAAAATTAGAAAACCAGGACGGGGAGAAAAGCCCAGGAACCCAACATCCTAACAAAAAAAAACATTTTAAATAAAAAAACACCAAAATACAAGTTTAATAACTACTTTATCACAGAAATTTTCTTCAGTGTCTCCCGTGATGCAAGTCTTGGTTTCAGCCAGGGTGCCATCACCGGTTCAGTGGTAAACCTGTGACCAGGAGCGATTCTTCGGCAATGTTCGCCGACCAGCTTCCCGCTCTATTTCCAATTTCCCTACGCAGCTGACTTCCCTGTCACCACTTCCTTGCAATTGCAATCTATGTTGCATAAATGGGCTAGACGTTGTTGCCTCGACAATTTATTTAGTTTATATTGGGCGCCACTATGTTACGACCTGCATATTTTTCGGTGGCAGTACCGCTAGCTCAGTCTTATCCCGGACAGGGTACCCCTAATGCCACAGTTCGAAACATAAAATATCGAAAACACAGCTGTCTCACGTCACTAAACTATCAGTCATCACTTAGAAGAAAAACGTAAACAAAGGTAAACACCTACAAATGTTTACAGGAAAATGGGTTAAATTTGGTGACTATTGATGACTTAGCCATCGCTCCCACCCAACCAAGGATGCCCGTAAGACACTGCGGGGCACCACTCATTCTCGGTCGGTCGGAGCCGCTTCCTCGCGACTACAACGGTTCCATCTCCCCCATTGGGACAACTTACTCACACATTGTGGGTTTTACAAATATTTAATGAATATGGTAAGTACAATCATTTATCCTTCCTCAGCCTTTAAGATTAAAAACTTGGCCGCAGTCTTCATTATTTACGCGATCAAAGCAGAGGATTTTGTTGCTCTACCGGTCACGTATTGGTAGAGCTCGCATGGAAACACGGCCCTCAAAAGGAACACACGCGATGCGCGCGTGTCGGGTCACCTAGTCCTGAGGAGCTCCTGGGGAAAAGAAGGGACACGCAAAATGGTACGCAAACGACGATTACAAATAAGGCTCTCTAAACCCGGATAAATTCACAATTAAACAGGAAAGTAAATATAGTAGTTCAGGTTCACATGTATTCAATTGTCCTAAATTTCAGCCACTATTGGGCCGGGCCTGGAGGGCGATTATAGACCGGACTGAGGACTTCTCGCCGGAGGCCAGCGACAATACGGGTCTCCAAGAAGGAAATCTGGCACACTACTGTGAGTTGCGTAAGGGCAGTCCAACCACTTTAGGCTGGCGTGATCAGTAATACATGTGAACGGCTTCCCTTCCACATACGGTCTGAACTTCCGAATGGCTAGGATGGCCGCCAGACACTCCTTTTCCGTGACCGAGTAATTCACCTGGTGTTTGTGAAGGCAGTGTACTCCTTGCTTCTGCCATCCAGTTCAATCTGCTAAAACGCAAACTAAGGTCTACGCTGGAGATTTAATGTGTCTGATCTATCCTGGAGAGGATTCCTTCAATACTGGAAAGGCGGTATGCATCCTCAATGGTCAATGCGTTCAACTTCCGGGCATCCAGACAGAACCTGTCTTTCCCTGGCTTCGACACTACTGTTGTGCGATTGCTCCACGGGCTTTTGCTCTCCTCGATGACACCCAGGTCCAGCGTCTAATCGATTTCTTCTTCGACCACGTTTTGCTTCGCCGGAAACATCAGCTCAATGGAATGACTCTCCATGCTGGTGACTCCGAGGCCATTCCTTTCAAAGGTAAGGAACTCCTTGACCTTGTCTAATGATCGGCATGGATTTCTTCAGCAGCTTTGACGCCTCTCTCGCCACCGGCGTCTCTACGACAGTTGGAGCTAGTCCGAACGCCCGCCAGAAGTCGACTCCGAAGTACGCAGTTTGTTCCAGGTATGGCCAAAGGTAGAACGTGACCGGCTTACTTACGCCTTTGTACTTCGCAGGCAGCTCCAAGCGTCGGATAATGGATCGATCCTCGCCAGAAGCCGCCCGGACTACGAAAAATACGGTTCAATGGGAACTCCAAGCGTTTCCACGAGCCCTCAACAGCCTTTGCCCAGCACACATACACTGGACCCCGTGTCCAACAAGCCGGTTAGTGACTTGCCCAAGGTCTCCACATCGGCGAAGGGTCTAGGATCGGCGGAATCTATGCGTTTCACGGCCGCTACCACCTTTAGTCGTCTGGATCTCCTTATCCTGAAGCACTCCCTTGCTTTTTGGACTCTCCGTGAGACTATACGCATGCAGCTGATGTTCCGCAAAGATCCGGTTCCGTGCGAAGCCTTTCATCCTCCGGTTGATATATTAACGAATACTTATATCTACTATATTGGCAATTTACGTTCTTGTTTTCATCTTCTTCCTTCGGAACTACTTCGTGGGACCGCTTTCGGATTGCCCAGCCAACCGTTTTTCGAGCAATCGGGACATTCCTCCACTCCGTAGCCTCGCAACCCTAGAATCCGTGCTGCGCAGCCCTGCAATTCCAGCAACCTGGCCCAAATGGGTTTCGGATACGCCCACGGAGCTCGTCCACTTAGAGGTTTCGCTGCTCGTCGATTTCGTCCGGTATGTGCGCCTCGCTGACCCGTAACTTTCTCTGCTGCAAGTAAGCAGCGCGCCCTCGAAGACCGAAATCCCTCTCTACTTGGACGCACTGTTCCGGAAGGTCGTCCACCGTGAGTACATCCATTGCGTAAACGTACCTAGCGATGCCGTCCCTTAAGCCCTTTTTAACCACCTTCACCAACTGCCGCTCTGACATTGGTTTTTTAGGCGTGAGGCGAGTTGCTGCATGGAATGGATGTAGTCATCCGCGCTCTCTCCCGGCTGTTGCTCACGCTGTAGCTGCTCATGCATCCTTTCGTGTTCCGTCTGATGACCACGGAACCGATCCATCAGAGCCCTGCGCAGTTGGGCCCAAGTGTCCACTCTGGATTGGAGTACGTGTACCCAATACCACTCCTTTGCTCTGCCCGATAGGAGGACGTGGAAGTTTCGCAAATCTTCATTCCACGGACACTGATGCTGTCGTTGCGGGAACTCTTGGCGGTACACGAAGTCGTCTACGGAATGGCCATTGTCCTCGACGTCGAAGGAGAGGTTCCAGCGGTCCACTGGGATGGTGCGGTTCCCGTTGCCGGCTCCCGCGTTTGCGTACAACCGCGGCTCGTCCCGGAAATCCGCCGTCCATCGGTCCTCGATGCGCCACTACCGGATGCCGGATGATACTCCGCTTCCTGGCTCAGGCTGCTGTCGATCCTCAGAGAGTCAGTCACCGGCGGTCGAGCTCGCTGCCTGGACGGCAATTCCGGCGGCCTTCGGTAGCATTTATCCGTCCTGGAGCGCCTGATGTATGCTCTCGGCTGGCCTAAGGACGGCTTTCAGCAACTACATCATGTCCATGAAGCCGTTCTTGATCTCCTCCCTCAACTCCCAACTCCTGAAATGCGCGATAGGTTTGGGCCGCTAGTGCCAAAGCTGCGTTTATTGCCGACTCCGCCGCTGTATCCCGTTCCAGGTTCAGCTTTTGAGGACTCTTCTGCTCCGGAACCAGAAGTTGATCCTGCGCCTCAATGATCGCCTTGAAATCATGGACCGTGGGCGACCGATGGTGTACCAGATCCGCTGGTTGATCCCTAATTCGATCCACCGCACTACCGCCTACCGGCGTTCTGGCTAAACCCACAGCCAGCAATATCCGCGGCAACTCAGCAGCACCCTCTACGTCAGTGGACCAGATATCGTCACAGATAGAAATTGTCACATATTTTTTTAGTGTCTCCCGTGATGCAAGTCTTGGTTTCCGCCAGGGTGCCATCACCGGTTCAGTTTTAAACCTGTGACCAGGAGCGATTCGTCGGCAATGTTCGCCGACCAGCTTCCCGCTCTATTTCCAATTTCCCTACGCAGCTGACTTCCCTGTCACC